CCCTTTCTGCAAAAGCTCACTGCGAACACCTACCACATCTTTCCCTGCCAATTGTGTGTTGCAACTGGAAGCATCTGAATCAGCAAAGGCAGCTTGAGTAGAAACATCATTTTTATCACAAACATTCTACCCAGCCTGGACAATTTTACTGCATGCAAGGGTTGCAAGTTGCGACAGACCCCAAAACAGGCACCCAAAAACGGCTCTGCTATAGAACATGTGTTCCATACAGGAGAAGTCTGTGCTGCAAGCGATGTCTGTTTGTGTGGTATCTTCCCAAGAACCATCAAAAACTTGGAACCAAGTATGAAAGAGCCATTCTGGGTTACCAACTGTCAGATCAGCCTTTGCAGTTATGCCTTTGTATGTTTTGTCATTTATGCTTTCTGGTGGCCTCATAACATAGTCCTGTTGCAAAGATTTAGCAGTATTTAAGCACAAATTGTTCCAGAGAATCTAGTTGCAGGAATGGAGAAATACAGTGTACATTAAATAATGTAATCATGCTACTATCCTGTACTGGTGCTTTGAGCGAGTCTGCTTGAATGATGGATGAAAGGGAGGCAGGTTCTCCCACACATTTGTGTCACAGCACAGAAATAGTGAGCGTTCCCAGGTTTTCGACTGGCCCTGCTTCAGTGCCTTTGCCCACATCCTGACACTCAGAAATTCAGAAGGTGACTCTTTTCTTATGAGTTCTTTTTCATGTCAGGAAAAGTTCCACATGCTAAGTTTCTACGGACTTTGTTGTTGTTGTTTAGTCATTTAGTCATGTCCGACTCTTCGTGACCCCATGGACCAGAGCACGCCAGGCACTTCTGTCTTCCACTGCCTCCCGCAGTTTGGTCAAACTCATGCTGGTAGCTTCAAAGACACTATCCAACCATCTCGTCCTCTGTCGTCCCCTTCTCCTTGTGCCTTCCATCTTTCCCAACATCAGGGTCTTTTCCAGGGAGTCTTCTCTTTTCATGAGGTGGCCAAAGTATTGGAGCCTCAGCTTCAGGATCTGTCCTTCCAGTGAGCACTCAGGGCTGATTTCCTTCAGAATGGAGAGGTTTGATCTTCTTGCAGTCCATGGGACTCTCAAGAGTCTCCTCCAACACCATAATTCAAAAGCATCAATTCTTCGGCGATCAGCCTTCTTTATGGTCCAGCTCTCACTTCCGTACATCACTACTGGGAAAACCATGGCTTTTACTATATGGACCTTTGTTGGCAAGGTGATGTCTCTACTTCTACGGACTAGGCTGCCCTTAAAGAGACAGCAGAACTATTGGTGGCAGGCGGAGGAAGTTGGAAACTCTAGAAATAACTCCAACAAATCCTCTACAACTGTTCCTGAAGACAATGCATCTCTAGAGACTCATCCTCCATCTCCTGGAAAGACCTTTTGGGGTCCCATTGCTGGAAATCGGTTGCCCCCTACTGGTAATTCGTCAAATCACCCAGTGGACGCGAGTGTAAGTTGAGTGGTTGAGGTGCATAACTGGTCATTGTGCACATTCACCAGGCCTTGTGGAGAATGTGCACACAGCCCCTCATTGAACAGGGAATTGTGCACATTTCCCAGGCAATATGAATTCACCTCCCCTCTTCCTGCTGCTCTGTGGGAGCTGGGAGGGTATGTTGTAGACAAGAGGTGGCAGAGGGGACACAGAGTCCGAGGACTCAGTTAGTTGGTTGGTTAGATGACACACTTTTACTATTTTATTATTATTTATTGAATTTATATACCACCCTATACATGGAGGTCTCAGGGCAGCTCACAGAGCAAAACCAGAACACAAAACCACAAAATATATAATCAAAATAAAAACAACAACACAATAACCCCCTTGGAGACCATGCATGCTGACTGGAGAATGTGCATATTGCCCACAGAATGTGCAGAATGCAGTTGAGAAATGTATATCCCCCCAAGGCCTGTTGACTGTTGGAGATTATGCTTATTGGCCAGGGAATGTATAAAAGTTAATTGATTTATGCATAATTCCAAAGGCCTGTTGGAGATTATGTGTATTGACCGGGAAATATGCACAATAGCTGGTTGTTATGCACATTACTGCTCAACTTACATTCCTTTCTTTACAGATACAAAATATATGATATGTACATGGTGATGTCTACTGAACGTCAGTCTGATGTGCAGTCCTTACGAGAGAAAGGCTGCCCTCTTCTGAAGCTGTGTTAATTTTCCTTTCTAGAGCTAATTTACTTTCCCAGTCAGCCACTATAATAGCAGCTAAGACTGTGTCTGCATGCTTGGCCCAGAAGTTAAAAGACTCACATCCTGATAAGCTTGGTACATTTCTTCACCCATCCCCCACTGCTTTCCCTGCAGATGAATTTGAACATGTGTCAAAAGAAATGAATGCTCACATTTGATGTGGGAATCTGATAAGCTGCAGAGCACTCCTCGATGTGTGCTTGTTAATTGGTAGGCTATTTAGCCTGATGCCCAGCTCATGATCAAGGTCACTTGATGCATATTACAAATTAGCCCTTGAACACTGTTTATCCCTGTTGTCATGCTGACCATCAGTGGGGCTAAAGGGTGTTTTTAAAAGGCCAATCCCCACCTGCATCTTTCAGCATCTTAATGACTGTGAGTAGGGACTTGGTGCACAACACCAGATTAAAATGCAGCTTTGTTGTTGTTTAGTCATTTAGTTGTGTCCGACTCTTCGTGACCCCATGGACCAGAGCACGCCAGGCACTCCTGTCTTCCACTGCCTCCCGCAGTTTGGTCAAACTCATGTTGGTCTCTTCTATAACACTGTCCATCCACCTCATCCTCTGTCGTGTCCTTCTCCTCAGGGTCTTTTCCAGGGAGTCTTCTCTTCTCATGAGGTGGCCAAAGTATTGGAGCCTCAGCTTCAGGATCTGTCCTTCCAGTGAGCACTCAGGGCTGATTTCCTTCAGAATGAATAGGTTTGATCTTCTTGCAGTCCATGGGACTCTCAAGAGTCTCCTCCAACACCATAATTCAAAAGCATCAATTCTTCGGCGATCAGCCTTCTTTATGGTCCAGCTCTCACTTCCATACATCACTACTGGGAAAACCATAGCTTTTACTATACAGACCTTTGTTGGCAAGGTGATGTCTCTGCTTTTTAAGATGCTGTCTAGGTTTGTCATTGCTTTCCTCCCAAGAAAAATGCAGTTTGGGTTGCTAAATTGACTCAGAGAGGGCCTGTTCTTTTAAGACTCTATGCCACATAAAAATCTTGCTCTGGGACAGGGGTTTCCCAACCTTGGGTCTCCAGCTGTTTTTGGACTGCAATTCCCATCATCCCTGACCACTGGTTCTGCTAGCTAGGGATGATGGGAGTTGTAGTCTAACAACCAGAAGAGTACCAAGTTTGGGAAACCCTGCTCTGGGACTTTTCCTGCCATGGAAACAGGTGATACCTATAGCAGAGATGGGGAGCGGCTAGATGATGTTAGGAGTCTAGCTTCCATCATACCCAACCAGCAGAGCTATTGGTCAGGGGTCATGGGAGTTGTAGTCCACCCGCATCTGGAGGGCTCTGCGTTCCTCACCCCTCACAGATATGCAACTTTATGTGACCTTTTCCCCCTCAGACTGTTTTGCATCCATGCCAGTGCAGGCAGGGGCGATTTTTGGCACTTAAACACTCACACAGGTAGGTCAATTGACCTCAGGTTTCGTTACCCTAATAAAAAAGTTCGCCATCATAGCCATTTCGCGACTTCCAGCGAGGCTGCAATGCAATTGCATCGATGACCCTGCCTCCCGAGTAAACATGGCAAGGATCCGGAGCACGGAACAATGCGATGGATTATCAAACTGCGGTTTATCAGTGTTCAGATTTTTACTTTGATCGCGTGGGTGGAGGGAAGGGAACTTGCAGGCGTGGCGCTCCAAGTAACGTCTGAATAGCGCCGAGTAGCGCGTTGGCTTTGCGTGTAGCGGTCGCAATGTCACATTTAAATAGCCTGGAACACCTGACTGTATAGTGGCCGTGTGAATCGGCGCTCGCTTCTGTGCGCACTAAACTCTGCAATGAAAGAGCTGCCAAGCGGCGTTCGGAGTCCAAGAATGCGTGTTAGTGAGGTCATGTAAAAGCTTGCCCAGAAAGCAAGGCGTGGCCCGATACTATGTTGCTTTTCTTCAATGCATTTATTTATTATGACATTTATATCCCCACTATTTCTCCAAGGCAGGGGTCTGCAACCCGCGGCTCCGGAGCCGCATGTGGCTCTTTTACACCTTTGCCGTGGCTCCGGGGCGGATACTAGTGAGGGGAGGAGGCGCATTGTGCGCCCCGACACTCCCCACTGTGGCGGGCGCTGTGCTGGCTGTGACGTCGCATGGGGGCGGTGCGTGCGTTAGTCCCAACGTCACCTTCCCGCCCGCCAGCTACATTGAAAGGGGGCATGTACGCTGGTCACTGTTTTGAAGGGGAGTGAAGAACACACACACACAAAAAGGTAACTTGTTAATTTAACGTTTATTTCTATGAGGAGGAGTAATTCTGAGGGGTCAAACAAAGAAATAATAAAAAGTGACAAAAAAGTTGTTTTTATAATGACGAGTTTTGCGGCTCCCAGTTTTTTTCCCTTCAGAAACGGGTCCAAGTGGCTCTTTTTGTCTTAAAGGTTGCAGACCCCTGCTCCAAGGAATTCACGATGACATATATCGTTCTGTCCCGATCCATCGTTCCTCACAACAACCCTGCGATGTAAATTAGGCTGAGAGACGGTAATAGGCCCAAGATCATCCAAGTGATCTTCGTGGAGATTTTATAGAATACTGTAATAGAATTGTAAAGTTGGAAGGGACCTTAAGGGTAATCCAGTCCATCCCCCTGCAATTTGATCCCGGACTTCCCAGCGTTGCTATGCGCGCACGTGCACAACAACCCACGAGGATACACCACCGTGTCGCAAAGTCTGCAGGAATGGAAGAAAACAAAGAAAAAGGACGATCGTGGGGTGAGTGGGTGGGGGGCGGCCAGAAAAAAAACGTGATTAAGGGGGCGGGGCGTGTGTGCCCGACAGAGAGGAGCGTCCACGCATTACTCAGTCACTTTTTAGAAACACGCGTAAAAAAACGAGGGGAAGAGAAATCGACGCCTGCCATGAGCGGTCTTCAGCACGGATCTCATTCACTACACGCGTGTCCGCGCGCGTCAAGCAGCCCCACGCCCGGATTTTCCGCGTGCGCCATCCACACGCAACTGCGAGGCGCGCTAGCTGTGCGCGCACGCCAACACGACGGCAGCCTGCCTGCCTGCCTCCCTTTCCCTCCTCCGGCCTTTCCCTCCGGCTGCTGACCCCCGGCCGGCCCCGCCGAGCTCCGCGCCCCGCCCAGGCCCCGCCGGCCCCCGCGGCGCCTCCCACACCCACCCGGGTTCGCGCCGGCGACGCGGCTGCTTTCCGACGCTCAGCAAGGGAAGCGCGCCGAGGTCGGGACCACCGATCGGGCCCGGAACCGCGTGGCAAGCAGCGAGGACGGGTAGGAAGAGGTGGGGGCGACCGAAAGCAACCGGTGTTTGTGTGCGTCTCTGAACTTCTCGGAAAGCGCTTTGCCAAGTAAGTTCAAGGCAACGGTCTGCTGTTGTGGGTTGATTTCGAGGTGGGTGCGATCCGGAGTTAGCAGAGGTGTCAGAATCTGGATAAGGGGCACGAAATCGCCTCCTTTTGGAGGTCGGGTTTCTTTTTGTACGTGATTTTGCTTCCTGGAAAGTGCTAATACTGGTGGTCACCCGTCATTAGCGGACTATTAAATCTAAGTTGGGAGCTACTAGCAAAGTCAGCTCCAGGTTTTTGGAGGGCAGGATACTCTCCATGACCCCACTCCTCTTAGTAAGTCTTCCCCCCCTCACTGTGGCAGGTCTAGGGGGCTCTTGTTAGTGTGCTAGGGTCTGGGGTGGGGTGGGGGAGTCTGACCTTTGCCAACTTAAGAAGAGAGGAAGCAGACCAGCTGTCCCTCTAGTTCTGTATTGTCCACACTGATTGACAGCTGTTTCTCCAGGGTTTCAATCCGGGGAATTCCCCAGCCCCTAACTTGCAGCTTGGACCTGGAACCTTCTGCACTCAAAGCAGATGTTCTACAGCTGAGCCAGGACTCTCCCCCTTGACGTTGCTGCCCCTGGTAATTGGGGTCCTGGTGTGTGTGCCTCTCGGTGCTCAGTTAACGGGGCAAATAAACAGTTTTCCTTCCCCAAGCCCCATGAAACAGCTGCATAATGTGGAAGCGCGTGTGCTTGGGTTTCTCTGCATTAGTTGTGGTCTCTGAAAATTTAACAGCGTACGAAGGAGGCCTTCCTCCTGCAAAGGTCATCGGGGTGATCTTGAAATCTGTGGGAAAGACCCGATATTTTGGTATAATCCCAGGGGTTTGGGAGGATAACTCCGAAGAGCCGCATGACTCTTATTAGAAAAGCTTCTGTGTCTTCCCCAGTGGTGCAAACGGGCACAAGTTCAACAGGGGAAACCTCTCCCTCCCCCCACATCACGTTATTGGCAGGGAAGGCTTCTCCTGTTGAAGTTTTGCATGCCTCTCAGTTTGAAAAAGAGACAGGAGCCTAGGTGCTGGCGGTGGAGGTGGCTGGCAGGCAACCCTAAGTGGGAAAGGCTTGGAAGTATTTCCAGAGGAAGGTGGTTGAATGGGAGGCTTGTGTTAGGTGAGCATGGCAAGTGACCCGATCGACTCATGTTGACTAGAAATATTTGCTTGGCTTTAAGGGACAAAGAATGGCCCATTTCTTTGACTGCCTTTAGCAACATTCCTAAGGGAAACGCTCTGGGCTTGCGAGAATGCTGCGTTAGTGTTTTGCAAATTACAGAATTTCTTCATGGAACTTGGTGTGCTGAGACGGCCCGGAAGGGGGCGATAGGCAAAGGGATGGAGGGTGTGTCTTATGAAGGGCTACATGCAAACTGCCTGCAAGGCAGCCTGCCTCTTGAGGATGAGTTGCTGGGGCAAGGCAACAGAAAGGGCTAATGCTGTTGTGTCTGGCTGGCCACTGGGGGAAATGCAGGAAGTTGCCTTCTTATACATCTAGCTGACACTGAGCAGGAGTTTCCCCCCCAGCCTTACCTGGAGATACCAGGGATTGACCCTGAGACCTTTTGCAGGCAAAGGAGCTGCTCAACTGCTGAAGTACAGCCTTTCTAGGATGCTGTGCAAACTAATCCTACAAGGGCTCTTCTTATGTGCTCTGTGGTTCTCATTTCTATCAGCCTGTTTGTTACACTCGGGAATGATTGCTGTCCAAATAATCTGGAGAGCACCGTAATAGCATAAGTCTTCTTCTTTGGCGTTCACTTGTAGCTGAGTAAGATTGTCTTCCATAAACATGGTTTTAACAATGAGTCCGTAAGTGACTGTGGAGGCCAATTCTGGACCCACACGTCCTTCCACAGTGGGGACATTGGTTCCCAGGTGGGAGTTGATCACAGTGTGGATTTGTCAAGCGTGCCTTCCTCTTAGCACATTTCTCCCTTGCGTCCTGAGTTTGAGTGTCTTCAAAGCCCATGACCCCTTTGGTAAAGGCTGTTCTCCAACTGGAGCGTTCGCAGGCCAGTGTTTCCCAGTTGTCGGTGTTTATACTACATTTGTTTAGATTTGCCTTGAGATTTGCCTTTAAACTCCTTTTGTTGACCACCAGCATTGCGCTTTCCATTTTTAAGTTGGGAATAGAGTAGTTGCTTTGGAAGACGATCATCAGGTATCTGCACAATGTAAGTAGAACCTGCAGGATCAGGCCAATGGCCCTGAAAACCCCAGCTTCTTGTTCTTATGGTTGGCCAACCAGATGCCTCTGAGAAGCCTGCGCCGGCGGCAGAAGTTGGTGGAGGTGATGCTGAGCCAGATGGATCAAGGCACTGGCTCTACATAGAACACGTTCCCCTTGTTCGGTTTTTCCATCTGTAAAAGGGGAACAATAGCAACTTTTCAGGTGTTTTTTAATTGTGAGAGAAAATCACAGTACAATTTTTAAAGTGCTTGTGTATGTTCTAAAAGGTTGCATGCTAGTGGACCTATCTTCTACCTTTAGCCTGGTGTCTTTAGCCAGATCCGGTGAATTTCCTAGTTTCCTAATCTCTGCAGGCAGGAACAAGAAAAATCGTAGTCTCTTAAATTACTTTAACATACGAGACCAACTTGGTGGAGATGGTGTAATTAATTTCCCTTTCCCTACTAGATCTCCCTTGTAACTTAAGCATATCCTCCTTCACCAGCGGTGAGGGGGCGTGAACTAACTGAGTCTAGGAATACAATTCTGTGGTTTTAACTCCTTCATGTATTAACTAGTCCTAGGCTTGCTAGTTATATTTGACTGCAATTTCCCACAGTTGTTGTTAGCTATTTATTAATTAATTTATATACTGCTGAGTTGCCAAAAGGGCTTCTAAGCACTTTACAAGTATAAACGGCAACAAATATATCCAGACGTGTTTAAAATACACAATAATGCAATTTCATCCAAAAGTTGAAGACATTTGTTATTAAAAATGTAAGACAAGTTTTAACTATTAAAACTGTAAAAAAAGCAATTAAAACAATATAACACTCCACTGACGTGGGTTTTAAAGTTTTATAATTTGCCCAAGTTTTTAATGTTCTGCTTCTTTTTTTAAAATGCAGCCACCTGTCGTTTTAAATGGATAGTTTTAATTGTGAGCCTCTCTGACAACCCTTCTCAGAAACAAGGCCAGGGTGCAAATGCATGGAGATAGTAACTGCTGCTCCCCACCCACAAACCCAAGACAGTCTACTCCAGGCCTGTGAGTTCTGTGCAAATGGAGAACAGGCTTACGGCAAAGGTGGAATGCTGTTGCTACTTATCGTCTTTGGAAGGGCTTGGTACTGAAATGAACCCAAGCAGAGCTGTGAGGCTGGATGCCATGGGGGTCGAGTATGGGGGATATTTATAACTCCAGCATCCTGCCTGGGTATATTTAGACAGAGCTGCCAAACAACAAGTCAGGGGAGAGGGCTTGGCCAAAGGGCTTAGCTGAACTCCCGTGTGCTACACCCAAGAGGAATTTTCCTTGCTGGGTCACTTCTTCCCCTGCATCTTGAAGTTTTGTTGTTGTTGTTGTTTAGTCGTGTCCGACTCTTCATGACCCATGGACCAGAGCACGCCAGGCACTCCTGCCTTCCATTGCCTCCCAGAGTTTGGTCAGACTCATGAACACCATCCAACCATCTCGTCTTCTGTCTTCCCCTTCTCCTTGTGCCTTCAATCTCTCCCAACATCAGGGTCCTTTCCAGGGAGTCTTCTCTTCTCATGAGGTGGCCAAAGTACTGGAGCTTCAGCTTCAGGATCTGTCCTTCCAGTGAGCACTCAGGGCTGATTTCCTTAAGAATGGAGAGGTTTGATCTTCTTGCAGTCTGTGGGACTTTCAAGAGTCTCCTCCAGCATCATAATTCAAAAGCATCAATTCTTTGGCGATCAGCTTTCTTTATGGTCCAGCTCTCACAATATTAACCTACAAAAGTGATGAGCCAATGAATGGCCGAGTCCTAGGCCGAAACCAAACCTCCCTTTCTGTCTGTATCTCCTAAGCATCACCAACCTGCTTCACATGAGACAACAGTGTGATGCAGCAGCAAAAAAATGCTAATGCCATTCTAGGCTGCATCAACAAAAGTATAGTGTTCAAGTCAAGGGAAGTCATAGTAGCACTCTGTCCTGCCTTGGACAGACCACACCTGGAATACTTCATGTGTCCAGTTCTGGGTGCTGCAATTTAAGAAGGATATTGACAAGCTGGAACATGTGCAGAAGAGGGCAACTGAGATGACCAAGGGTCTGGAAACCAAGTCTTATGAGGAACAGTTGAAGGATCTGGATATTTAGCCTGGAAAAGAGGAGACTGAAAGGAGATAGGATAGCCATTTTCAAATATATACAAGGCTGTCACGTGGAAGATGGAGAAAGCAGCTTGTTTTCTCTTGCTCCAGAGGGTAGTACCTGAACCAGTGGCTTCAAGTTACAAGAAAGGAGATTCCCTCATTGCAGGGGGTTGGACAAAAAGACCTTGGCCTGCTCCCAACAGGTAATTTTGCGGTGGGGGGCATAGACAGCTTGGCCTTATAGAGTGGGTGCCCCAGACTCTCTTCATTATTCTCCCTTACTGCTAGAATTTAGATTACCAGCTTCTTGGGGGCAGAGATCTGTCTTCCTTTCGCTCCTTTGTTTTGAGTATATTAAAGTGAAGTAAGGTTGGAGAACCTTTGGCTTTCATCTCTGACCATTGGCCATGCTGCTGCGGGGAGTTAATCCATATCAGGAAGGCTGTATGCTCCCCATTCCAGGTGCAAAGAGATGTGCATTGATGTTTCCACCAAAAATAACGATAAAAGGATGCCTCTCAGCTGGTTCTGGGGCCATTGTTTGGTTTCTGATACCCAGTGTACCAACCTGTATCAAACCACTGACCCAATAACCCCTTACAGCAAAAATTCTGGTTAACTATGCTAGGGAACGGACAAACTGCAGTCTGCATTAAATGTGTAGTCTGCTGTTGTGTATTTTCTTCTTCTTAAGATAGCAGACATGTGTGTGTGTGATAAGGAC